ACAAATTTCTTCAATTTATCACTGTGAAATTCAAATTACCATGACAAACTTCTTCCGTTTATCATTGTAAATTAACCAAGGGTTTTTTTAATATGTACCTTAAGAGCACAAGTTAAAAGTTAAAAAAATAAAAAATAAGATTTAATTTATTAATTGTCTAATTAAATTTAATCATGTGACATTGATTTTAAAATTAATATTTATCTTTACATATCTTTATAAAAATTGAGTATAAAAAAATATTCTTAACCTATACCTCAAGGATACAATTTAGAAAAATCCTATAGTCAGATCGTGGTTTTGTAGCATGTTTTCCAGTAACAGGCAATTGAACCCTTCATCTTTTCAAGAGTGGTAGATTACGCCCTTAACTAAATTGATGTGCAAACTCACCCTAAACTTGTAATGGGTCGCAAATAGAGTGGGCAAAATCGGCAAAAAGCTACTTTTGGCCCTTTACCTTATTAAGTTTATAGGTTTTAGTCCCTCACCTTATACTATTACACTTTTGCCATTCACCTATTAGAATTGAAGAAAATGACCCTCACTTTATAATATTTCGTTAGTTCTGTTAACTGACTGTTAATTCTGTTAGTTGAAAGTAAGTTTTTGTCAGTTAACCGTCAGCTAACAGTTAGTTAATATAATTAACAGTCTTAACAGTCAATTAATAAAGTTAACAATCAGTTAATAAAGTTAATAGTCAGTTAATAGAATAGTTCTATTAATTGACTGTTAACTCTATTAACTAAAAGCAGGTTTTTATCAATTAATAGTTAACTAATAGTTAACTAATAAAGTTAATAATTAGTTAATGGAACTAACAAAATGTTATAAGTGAAAGCTATTTTCTTTAATTCTAATAGATGAAGGGCTAAAAGTGTTATAATATAAGATAAGGGATTAAAACCTATAAATCTAATAAGGTAAAGGGTTAAAAGTAAGGTTTTATTGCAAAAATCTACTCGATCTGTCAACCCGACTTTAACTCAACTCATAAAAACGAATTAGGGTCTACATATCCTGACCTGCAACCCGTAGATAACTCGTAATATCAACTCATATTAGTCACGGGTTGAGTTAGGGTCAACCCATGGGTTAATGGGTTGACTTGTTTACTTTATTTATTTATTATTATTTTTTAAATACTTTACTTATTATTCTTAATTAATTTTCCTATTGATAATTTTCTCCATTAATTCACACTCTTCAACCTCATTTCCATTACTTAAATGGTTTTGAACTTATTTTGAGTGTTTACTTATTATTATTTCTTCTTTCTTTAGAAATTATGTGGGTTTGATTTAATTACTAAGTATCATGAATTAAATGATAATATAACTAAAAATATTAAAGATGTGCTGTTAGGATATAAACATAATAATTTAGTGAAAAATGTTCTTGGAAGAGTAATTTAATCATTAAAAAAAGAGCTTAAACTCCTTGATAATGTTTCAAGATGATTGTAAAATTAAAACTTTATTTTTCAAGAAATTTAAATATTTTAAGTTTAATATTGTTAATCAATTTACTGTTATTTATAACTTTATGATTTTTTCTTAATTTAAATATTTGTAGTGGAGACTATAAAGTATTTAGTGTTAATGAGTTATGATACTTTAATTAAATTTAGATATATACAATTTTATTTATATATAATAAAATTAATAAAAAATAATTATAAAAAATGAAAATAAAGTCAACCCGTGAGTTAAACCGTAACTCGTTAGAGTTGGGTTAGGGTTAAATTTTTTTTATTCGCAACTTGTTTACGACCCGATCTGTATAATTCGTCACTCGAGTTAATCCAACCCGAACCCGACCCAACCCACCCGATTGTTAGGTCTAGTTGCAAAATAGCCCTTGTCTAACGGATTATGTCAACAATCTATCTAAGGGCCCGTTTGGTATAATGGTTTTGGGGTAGCAGTTAACGATTTTACCTAAACCATTAAATATAGGTGTTTGGTTAATTTATATATTTTGAAATCGCTACAAATAAAGTGTTTGGTAAAATTTTTATTTAGCGGTTTGAGACTAGCAGACAGCGGTTTGAGACTAGCAGACAGCGGTTAAGGTCCAAACCGCTAACGGATTGAAAAAACTAATTTATGTAACTTTTTGTATCAAACTGCTAGCGGATTAAAATTTTTTAATTTTATTGACAAATGTATCCATTTTAATTTTTTAATTTGTGGTCACATTTTTTAATTAATAATTATCTAATAAATTT